TGTCCTAAAAGTTCCTCGTGTGTTGGTGGGCTTTTGTGATTTAACTTCTCCAAACAATCGAACCAATCATAGGGAAAAAATCCTTTCAGTTGAGTACAACCGTATGCTTTTAAGAATTGTTCATAGCTTAATCCTTGTGCCAAGTAATTAGTTATGTCTAAAAATTTAAGTTTTTCCGTTTTAATGCACATACGAGTTGTTTCTTTTAATGAAAAATTCTATACACCTTTATCTTCCGAGGCGTCTAAACATTTGAATAGGTATTTTCTTATTACATTTATGTCGTAGCGTGAAGAGGTAAAACCAGTAAGAGGCATTTCCTTTGAAAGGCAGTCTAATCTTTTCTTTCAGTTCAAAATTTTATATTTTTCTTTCGTGTCACTTTTTTTCATCAAACTGATTAAAAACGTCCTCTTTTCGCATAAACTTTTCGCATATCAAAATGGCAACTGGTCTCACTTATTTCATGCACATACTCTACAAAATCCATAACAAGCTGTTCCAAATCCGCATCTGTCTCACATTAGCATCACATGTCTTTCGAAAATATTTTCTCACCCTTCCAACAAACAAACGAGCCACAAAAACTATTTATTTTAGAAATAAAACTGAAGTGATCATTATGCAGGTATTAACGTACATACGAGGGTATTACTGAAGAAGCTTGACCGTCTTCGGCAATCAAGTAAAGTTCAATAGCAACATGTACATGAAAAATGTTCTCGACTGTACACTGATATCAACTCCGTCAAAATTTGTGCGCTGAAAATTAGTTTCCTGAAGATACTGATCAAACAATGCATTTGTTTCCCGTTGGAAATGTCTATCACCCACCCCCTGCCTTTAATTGGTTTAAGGCTATGCATACATCTAAACCAGCAGAGATTATGGCTGAAAGGTGAACCCGAGTGACGATCTCAGTTTCGTCAAAAAGCATATGATGGAGTCGTTATTTTTTATTTAAGATGGCATGCAACTCTGTCGTACGCCCAATTACAAAATCGAGTCTAGTTACGGTAATTACGGCTTGAATAAGAGAATGAAATACCAATGCATTTACGCTGATTTCTTGTCCATTCAAGTACATTGAGAGCTCGTAGCACATCAATAAGTTGACTAAACGTTCTGTAGTTATTGAGAACATAGGTACGTCAAGCACACTGGTATTATTAGAAGTATAAAAAAACGTAATTCGCCAGTTTCCACATTGCGTAAAATAAAACTGAAGCTAACGTTACTTTAAAAGCGCGACGTTCTTGGCGATGTATTTTGCGTAAACGATTGAGTTAATTGAAGGTAATTTATCACTTACGGTTACGCGCACGTGTAGACTGCTTGTCTCGGGTGCAAACGATCTGGTGCGTTGATAATACCAAACGATTGAGTTGGGCATCATCCAAGCTTTCCAACCAATCACTTTCCGTTAAATTTTGAAAGGGATCGTCTAAAAAGCAGTAAAATTAAGGATTTATTCCATGCCCGATCAACAAATTCACGCTCGCGTGATGCTGTTAAATCAACTTACCTCGAATGGAGGCTTGTAAAAAGGCTTTAGTTTCCAAACGGTTGAGCTGGGAATCATTCAAACCATCCAAAATACTTTCGTCGTTTTCCATTAAGACGCAGTGTTTTCCATCAAGAAGCAGCCTGGCTGGAGAACAGCTAATCTGGTGCTTTTAAAATGTCTGTCTTTTTTAAAATTAATTTCATCACTTTATGACTGCTTTTTATAGGAACACGCCCAAACACAACTGGTGCAATTTCGGCGCAAGCTCATACATCAAGCCTCTTACAGACGAGCAAGTTTTCTATGACAAGTTTTTGTGACAAGTTTTAATTGTTTGTCTGTACGCCCAACTTTAACAATTTTTTCAAGTATACTTGATTTCAAACAAGTGCACTTGTCATAGAAAAAATTGTCAAAGTACAAATTTTGCTCGTGTGTATGAGTCCACAAAGAAAACTTGTCAAAGTAATGTGAGTACTTGTATGCGGTTGGCCAGCGGAATATAATAATTTGCATTGGAGGCTTGGCTAGCGCTGTACGTTAGACTGGTCGAGAAAGAGTTTATGGAACTTTAAGTCAAATTCATATAGAGATAGAAATAAGAAAAAGACTGAATACACAGAAGTTCTTACGTTGATGAAAGACGAAGCTCCTGGTATTGATCTTGTGTGGTAAAATACATGCATACATGAACTCTGAAACTCAAAGCAATGTTTTTATCAACAGTCAGCCTTCATCACATGCTGTTCTTTCCCCCATTTTCAATAAATGTGATAATCTTAGGCAAAGGTTATTCATAATTAATATTTAAGTGTTATCAATAAAGACAACAATCAGTAGCTGTACACCATTGGTTCATTTGGTTTAAAAAGATTAAAGAATCCAAAGCCAACTTCAGGTGTATTAAAAATGTACTACAGTGTTGAGAAAACCCATGACGAAAACGTTGTAAAATATTTGGTCATGTTTTTGCCTTGAACTTGAAAATTTGCTGACATTAATAAGCCTGTTTTTAGCTGTTTATGTGTGTACAGTAGTCCCTCGCTAACTCGAACCCCCAGCGGGAAATTTAAATTGTTCGAGTTACCGGGGGTTTGAGTTAACCGCGGAGTTGGTGTCAGATTACGTTTATTATATATAGTAATACAATAAGATATAAAATTCAATCGAATTATTCTTCAAGGGATATCAGGCCTACCAATATGAATGGTCACCGGGAGTGGACGACGTTTTAAAATTAAAAAGATCGAAAGAATACAAGAGGAACTAAAAAAGCTAGATCAATAACGACCGTAGCACTACATAAAATCTTTTAAAATTTATAAGCATTTATATACAATTATACACTGAATAAGTTGTTGTTATTTCGATAGTTTCCAGTTTTCAAAATGCTATGTTCTCACATTTTAAAGTTCGCTGATTTTAAAGTTCGTTGATTCGAAACTAAAGTTCGAGTTAACCGGATATATTTGACGAAGGGAAAACAAAACTTGTTCGAATTAGCGAGGAGTTCGAGTTAAGCGAGTTCGAGTTAAGCGGAGTAAATTACTATAAAAAACATTACCAAATCCAAAGGGAATTGGATTTAGTTCGAGTTAGCGAGGAGTTCGAGTTAATAAGCGAGTTCGAGTTAGCGGGGGACTACTGTATTTACAAGTATTAAAACTCCCACTGTGGGTAGGATGTGGGTGATACGTGTTGATTTTAACCTAGGAAAAATTCATAGAGGGTGTCATCGTCTAAAACAAAGCAACTCTATCTAATACTGTTGCTAGTACTGTTCCATCTGAAAAACAACTGAGGTTTACTCTAGTATTCGATCCTTCGATGATGATGATCTTAATGAAACCAATCAATTATAATGACTACCGAAACAGAAAATCAGCAACAACCACCAAAAAGAATAAAACAACCAAGAAGTGGATGGAAACTGCAGCACCAGCTTTAACTGAGCTTGCACAAGAGCAAAGGCCTCTTCAAGTGTAAATGATGAATATCTTGAATACCAGTTTGATCTCATAGCTTTGACGATTCGTCACATAGAAAATAACAGAAGGAAAAGGAGAAAAAGAAAAAGACGTGAGGTATGGATGAGATCATGGATCGGAAGGCGAAGGCAGTTCTGCATTTACGACCAACTTCTGGTGGAACTCCGAAGCGAGGATACGCGATGTTTCAAGAACTTTATGCGGATGGTCCCCGAGATGTTTGATGAGCTTTTGGCAAGAGTGAGTCCCAGGATCACCAAGAAACATACCTGGTATATGCGACCCCTGGAGCCTGGGCTGAAGCTCTCTTTGACTTTGCGACACCTTGCCTCTGGGAGCACGTATTCAGCCATGAAGTACGGATGGAGGGTCCCCCACAACACCCAGTCACTTATTGTCAGAGAGGTTTGGCAAGCCATCATCGACGAATACATGTCCGAGGTAATGACCTGCCCTACCACGCCAGAGGGATGGCGTGCCATATCTGATAAGTTCCTCAAGAGGTGGAACTTCCCCCATACATGTGGTGCTATAGATGGAAAGCACATTGCCTGCAAGTGTCCACCAAAAAGTGGATCTCAATATTTCAACTACAAGGGATTCTACTCTGTTGTACTCATGGGCCTTGTAGACGCAGATTATAAATTCATCTGGGCAGACCTTGGTGGTAAAGGGTCATCATCGGACGCACAGATCTACAACAACTCTGAAATCAAAGAATTAACAGAAGACGGAACTATAGGATTCCCCGTCCCCGATGCTTTACCAAATGACTATCAGAGTGTCCCCTACTTCTTTGTAGGTGACGTTGCCTTTGCCCTCCGAGAGACAATGATGAAGCCATACAGCCGCCGTGGTCTACACTATGAAGAGAGGATATTTAACTACAGGATTTCCCGAGCCAGAAGAGTAGTTGAAAACGCTTTCGGCATCCTGACGAATCGTTACCAGGTTCTGTTAACTACAATGCAGCATCACCCTGATACAGTAAAGCTCATCGTTAAAGCTTGTATTGTCCTGCACAATCTCATGAGGATGCGCTATCCTGAATTACAAAACCAGCATCTAGACCATGCAGAGAACATGAACAACAACTTCATTCCTGGATCATGGAGACAAGAGAGAAATTTGCTCGACACACATACATTTGTTGGGAGAAACACATCCACCAACAAAGGAAAGGGGCTAAGGAATCTGTTGAAACACTGGGTCAACTCAGAGGCAGGTGCAGTTCCATGGCAAGACAGAATGATTTAGATCAAATTATTGTAAACGAAACTAAACCACAACAAAACTTTTTGTAGATGTCGAAACACATGTTAATTATATAGTCACTCCAACATTAATACTGCAAGATTTTAGAATATATACAATGTTGTCCTTTAGACAAGGGTGTAAATGCAGTGTGTATTATGAAATTATGAGAAACAAAAAATGAGAATTTAATTTTTGACAATTCGATTATCGTGAGAGTTACTACATTAACAAAATAGTCAATAATTCTTTCACGTTGGTGGTCGAAGGTTGAGAACCTCATCCTGAAATCCAATATCATCAGTAGATTCCATGATTTCTCGAAATCCTGAAAGACTAGTAATGTTCGGGTGACTTTGCTCAAAGGCTGAGCTTGGACTATGCGGCGTTGGGCTAGACGTTTCCGTTATTAATTCTGTTGCAGAAGCCAAAGAGGCACGAACCGGGCCTTGCTGCAACGGTTGCTGAGCAAGTTGTTGGGAAGGAGGAATCATCTGCTGTTGTTTAATGGTATTCTTGTGATGGTGTGGATGCTGAAATAACCGCTGGTGAAACTGCTGCATGTACTCCATGGACTGAGAGCCTCTCACCAACGGTGCCAGAGGCATGTTTATAGGCATGTTGCCGGGTTTCTGATAATTCTCAGAGAAGAATGGTGCTGATGCTCTAAATGAACAGAAGGGAATTCTTGTAGTGGGGTGCAAATCATGGGGTGGTTGAGAAGGGATCCCTTGTTGGTTCACTTTGATAGATGGAGCCGCCATTGCACTTGGAAATTCATCATCGCTGTCCTCATCCATAAGTTCAGACAATAACCTATTGATGGAGGACCTTGCCTTCTTGTACTTGGACATAGTCAAAAGGCTCTCTTTAACATAATTTGCAAAGACACTTCGTGCTGTAATGGGCTGTTGTTTGGCTTTGTAGATGTCTTTGAGGATGGTGCCAGACTCAGCAACTCTCTTCTGTAGAGTCTCAAGGACGTCACTCTCTGTGTTCTGAGGTCGCTTGTGGGACCTTCCAGCGGTAGATGATGGTATTGGAGTGACTTCATCTAAGACATCCTGCATATCAGCGCAGGCGCTCTCGGCAGCATTAAGATCTCCTCTGTGAAGCTGGATGGTTTCCTTCACCTAGAAAGACCAAAAATATAATGTGGAAATTGTCTCAAATTACTTGGTCATCATGTTGCTAAGGTAATATGGCTGTCTACTTACACTCTGCATGGGCTCCGGTCGGTGGCGAGTGACAGTCTTCAGGAAGGCAAACTTTGAGAGGATCCACTGTTCTCTCTCAGTCAGGTTTGGAGCACTATCCCCGCTTTTCTTCTTGTCAAGGCGCGTATGGGTGTCGCGCAACGATCTGAACCAGCCCTTGAGGATGTCAACAGTCTTGTTCATCTGATGTGCTTGCTCTTCCCAGATCTTCTCTTTCTTGTCTTTCCGCCTATAATCTGTCATCTTCACATTCCACAGCACAGGATTGTCCATGATAAACTCCAGCATCAGCTCCTCTTCTGTGGCGCTGAGGTTGTAGGGGTTTTCTTCGCCCTCTTCCTCTTATTTTTCTCCTTGCTATCAGCCCGCCGGAAGGAGGTGAAGTCATCAATGCTTTCAGATGATAAAGCTGATGAATTATGGAAGTCTTGGGAAGGTTGTGTTGGAGATTTTGAGGACTCAGGAACATGTCGCGCATTATTCAAAGATGTCTCAGGAATAAGTGCATCATCATCAGGTGGTTCAACTACATCAGCAGGTGCACAAACACGTTGTTCGTCAGCTTTGGCAACGGCTGATGATGGAGTCCTCTTTCCTTATCTTCGTCCGCGGGTAGATGATGTCTTCTTATTTGCCATGGTGTCTTCTTCTTTTTTCACTGTAGGTTTGACATTTTCTCGAATGGAGCCGTGTGAAAATACTGCCGCTTATATACGATTAAAGTCTGTGAAACGCCAGTGGTATACTTGACATGCGCATTCCAAACGCTTCTCGTAAGCTATTCATACGCTGGCATACGCCAGCGACAGGCTACTCATACGATACTCATACGTTTAATAAGTTAATTTTATGCAAAATGTCCTATTTTTACGGACTTTTTCGTGCGTATAAAAATGAATGAAATGATCTTTATACGCGACTCATACGTTCCTATCATACGCAACAGTGTGACAGGGCCTTTAGGAAAGATGTTGCGAATTCTATACGAGTGTAACGGATATCAGATAATAGATTAACATTAAAAATAGACTAACACTAATGGAATTAGCAAACGTAGCTTGCCGCGGACGTACCATTGCAAGTGCTTCCGAGATTAATGTAAAAATAACCGTCAATATATAAATATAGCATTTTAGATAAGTAAAGGAAGCGTACACGCCCTATAGAACGAGAGTATAAATAACAAATGTAAACTATTGAATAAGAGAGTTGGATTTAGACCTGTTGTGTGTTTGTGTGTGTAAAGTAAGCTCGGCCCGTTACACGAGCAATAAAGAATGTGGACTTACAGAGACATGTAAAATTTGCCATCCAATCTGCAATTTTTGAAACTGCACAGCAAGCAAACCAACCACTTCACGGAATCCAACGACAGCAAATCTAACCACAGCAAACCTCTCAAGGTGCACAAGGATATTATCCTTATATCTGTTTTAATACATTTCAAGATAATGGTGCAACATATCACACCTTGCAGTTAGGTGGACTTGTGTAAAAATCTTGATGTACATTATTTAATTGTTGAGTTAACTGTAAATCCAGGATTTCCCTACACAGGAAACTTCTGCTATTCAGTGTGGGCTGGGATATGCATTTCATTTATCACCCATAGGGTCTCTAAGGTGAAGGCTATTTCAGATATGGCAGAGCACCTCGTCACCAGGCCTCCAACTCATACGCGGCCACAATATTCAATATGGCGACCAGACGTAGGAGTGTATATTTTATGCATTGTTGTCTTTGAAAAAAATGACAAAAAGTGTAATAAATATTTTTTAGCTAAACGAGAAAAAACATATTTTTGGAAGAAATCTATGTTATAATATAATTATAATATGAATTAAAAAAGCCATTTATAGATTTGATTAAATATTTAATTCATGTCCCATTCGTGTCCATTCATTGTTAATAACACATGATATGTTCCCAAGTTGAAATAAAGTAATCATGACGAATACATTTTCGGTCGCAAGCATACTGTCATGGATTGTTTATACAGTAATCCGAATGATATTTCAACTGCAAAGCTTGAGTTGGTGTAGTTTTTTCTTCTTTTCTTTTATTACTGCAATGATATCTTCGGTAATATATTTTATTAATATTTTTCAATTCGCATGGCTATATTTTCCGCAGCGAAACTTGGCAATTGAATAAGTTTAGTATGCACTTTTCGTAAATTCCCTTTTTGTTGCCTAAATCAAGAGTTGGTCTATTATGCAATGACAGCAAAAGGTTTGCAATGATATACCCCTCAATGCCAACATGTAGATAGAAGCAGTTTTTAACCTGCACTACTGGGCCTTTTTTGCTTCCCGCATAAAATTTCTTAAATATTTTTGCTCCCCGATATTTCTCGGCTCGGCTTTGGGTACGTTACATCTTTTGAAAGAGCTCTAGAAATCGTCAAAGAGTACGAAATAAAATAACAACAAAATTTGCCGTGTATACGCGCAGTAACAACTTCGGGAATGCAGGTAAGTCAAAGCGTGCATTATGGAAATTTCCTGCTCAAACGCTCATTTGATTTGAAAATGTAATTTTTCGATCTATATTTTATTTTCACCCAAGTATGTATTCTTAAAACTGCATCTGTCATTACAAGATAAAAAAAACGGATGTGTAATAAAATACAATTCGGCTAAAAGCAATAAAATTTACATTTGTTTATAGACAGGGGTTTTCCCTGATGTTGTACTTCAGCCTTGGGGTATCAAATCAATGTTAAGTGTTTTACACTTGATAGAATCGACAATATTTTTCAATCAAATCAACCCATAGGGGTAAGAAATAAAAGGCAACTTAGCAACGATGACATAAAAATATATTCTTAGACTAAAAGCAATTAAACCTTAATATTCAAGAATGCATGCATGGTCGCGGGGTCTTCCCTGCCGTGGGGAACGTCAAAATTGTATTTCTACCGCTTAGTGTCATTTTCACTGTAACATAAATTTACACTAAATTTTATTCAGCGTTTGAGGATTTTTCAAATACATTTATGAACTTGTTGTTTCCGCAGATTTCGAAAATGAGACATCGCATCGCGTACTTTGGCAGTCTAAAAGTAATTCAGAAGCAGCTATACCCTTTTATGGTACGCCGTATTTTTCTGGTTGGTAATTACATCATGGAGTGTCAGCATGGTGTGGACAGAAATCTGTATCAAAAGAATATGCATGCAGCAAAGTTTCAAGTAGGTTTCGTGAAAATGTATGCATTAAGGAAAAAAGAGAAGCTATGTGCTAGAGATAGTTCCCTTTTAAAAAACTTAACATAATTTTAGACACTTAGGCCTGTATTCAAAAAGCTCACTCACACTCACACCTGAGTCAGACTGTAGTGAGGTTGACTCAAGTATGGTTGAAATGTGAGTGAGGGTGGAGTATGAGTGCAACGTTACACTGCGTGAGTGTGCGCTCATCCATTGGAAAATCGTGTCGATTTGTATTCATAAAGCGCACTCGAGTATGACTTATCCAAGTAGAACTGTACAATGACAATTAGGATAATACAGCTATTTCAATTAAGGTTGACAATTGTACAATTGAGGGTAAAGGACGTATGGGAACATCAATTTCGCAGTTCTAAGTAAGGTTTATACATCGGTACAGCAACGAGGAAATAAAATATAATGTTTATATAATCCCACGAGGCCTCTGATTTGTTAATTAAACCCATTCAATCTAACTATAGCTCGTGTTGTACATGTGACGAATGTCTGTGATCTCCGTAATTTAAATAGCTGACTATTGGTGTATAGGCACACACAATTTAGTGAGAACCAGGCAGTACAAGATTTCGCAACCTAGGCAGTTTTACTCAGAATTAGAAAAGACTCTGTTAATAGAACTAGTTGGAAAACACAAAGATGTTATCGAAAATAAGAAGAACGATTATAAGACAATTAGACAAAAAACCCTCGCGTGGGAAGAGTTAGCACAAGAATTTAATTCCCAATCTGGTGTTACGAAAAGAGATTCGAAGCAGTTAAAGAAATGCTGGGAAAATGTGAAGGCCCGTGCCAAGAAGAATCTTGCGAAGGAGAAGAGACGTGCAAAATTGACGGGTGGTGGTCCATCGTGTGTGCAACAAGAAGACGAGGATGCGGCCGTAGCCGCTATTATTCCCAATCAAATAGACAGCCTTAGCAACCCGTTTGACGACGATAATTACGTCGCAGGTAATTGAAGTGCACAATAAATTATGCTTGTAATATGTGATCGGTGTTTTAAAATAAGCCGTCGAAATGTATTTATACGTTACAGACAACACAGATAACGAAAGTGATAATTCACAGGCGTCGAGTACAAATGCGCAGAACTAACAGCAAAAATCATCTCTCGTCGTTGAGGCGGCTCTGAAGGACTCAGGCAAAACAAAGCCAAGAATATCAGCAGCGCAAGAAAAATGTTTGAAAATGCAGACATCACAGCATGAAGCTGAGATGGACCTCTTAGAACTCCAAAAAGCCAATCTGTTGATGCAACACAAAAGAAAAATGGAGGTGTTAGACGCCGAACTTGAATATTGGACGTCTGTGACAAAGGCAATGAAGACAGCAGACGAACAACAACGGAGACCAAATACAAGATCAAAAAAATGAAACAAGAAAGATATTTATGATTAAGGATTGTTGCGACATAGGCATGCATATGCACGAAACGCTTGGCAGATAAGATTGAAATGCAGACGTTTGTTTACTGACTGTGCGGAGATATTTTGAACTATAGATCGGTTTCAGACGATTTTCTACCTTAACCATTGCCCATTTACATCATTTTATATTTATAATAAATACACAGGGCAAATCATAACAAACGAGACCTTTTCAAATTCAAATTAGCCATAATCTCTTGTAGTAATTGGAAAGTTATGTTCATTGGAGAATCACGAATGACTACAATAGATTGTTTATGGCTAATGTGGCTATTTGAAAAGAGGAATGGTTTGTTGCTACATCTGTAGTGTGTAACATGAACTATGTAGCTCATGAAAGTAATAGACGTGTGTGTCTTGTATGTTCCGCACGTACAACGTTGTATGCAAATTTTGCGCTATCCACTTTTGTAGGTTTTTATTGTCTATGTGAAATGTTGACGTATTAAATTTTCGCGCACAGCATGTCCCAAACGTCGTTCACCAGCATGCGCATCAGGTAACTCATCTTCCGCAAGCAGCATATCATCCGCTTCATCAAATGGATCATTTCGGCTGCGTACAAAATTGTACAAAACGGCGGTTGCGACAATAATAGTTAAGGTCGTTTCTAGTTTCGTTCTTAGGCACGTTGATAAACATGGGAACATTCTCTTCCATATGG